CTGGCGGCCCAGCAGCGTGGCACATGCGCTCACGTAGCCTCTGTTCTTGGCCACCCAGCACAGGGACACAACCGCGCTCTAACGTGGGCATCCGGCCTCAGGCCTCTGGCACACAGCATAGCCCGCCATCCTGCCCCGCAATTCTGTCACACCGCAGCTGCCATCCGGGGCCACGCGGGCTCTCCGTCCATGCCAGCCGGGGCCGCCAGGATCCTGCACAGGAACCCGCCGTGGCCCCCCCGGATGCCACCATGACCTCCACTGCTGCCTCGCCCACAACGGCTCTGCATGCAGCACTCACAGAGTTCTCCTGCAGCCTCTAAGCACACCCCTTCCAGAAGCTTCTCCTTGCAATGAGGAAGAAATCCACACACAGTCAGATAGCCTGAAAGGCAGCTGTCCCTTCTGCCCTCAGGGAGCGGCTTCCCCAACGAGTCACACCTGCCCCTCCACCCATAGGTAACACTGCTTCTTCCCCCGAATGTGCCCCCTCCTCTGGTTCAGGGCGGTGGTGCCTGCTAAGGTCTCTGACTGCAGGGACCCCCCACCCATGCCACCTCTGGTACTGCACTAGCCCTTCCTCCCGCTCTCGGAAGGCAGCCATGACTGCCATGGATGAAACACCACCACCCTTCCCTGCAGGCTTTGCTGCACCCAGGCTGGTTTTACCCTATGTTGTGTGTTTTCAGGCTTCTGTCTTCATCCACTGGATTTGCAGTTTTGGTGCCAGTTTTGTGCGCGCGCGCACGTGCACAAATCTCCATTCCAGTGCCCGAAGTGGTGCGGAGCAGACAGTGAAGTGACCTGGGCACGGGGGAAGGGCACCTGCAGAGGCTGGGGCTCTGAGGTCACGCCGCGCATCCAACAGCGCGCCCTCGCCCTGCATCTTCAGAGCTGCTCCCTCACTGCCTCCCTGTGGGGCGATCCTGTCACACGCCTATGGAACCATGAGTGGGACTCTGACACAAAGTTAAAGACACAGAACGCCCCAAAACTAAGAGTCCCTGGCCATCTCTTTGTTACAAAAGGAAAAGGGAGAAAACACGTGTAGAAAACGATGGAAAGCTCAAGTGTGTCAAGCTACCTTGAGATTCCAGGTATAATGTTCCTTAACCAGACAGGGTGAAAACCATCTCCTTTAAATCAGCTGCAATCACATCGCGCACAGATGGTGGGTCTTGTGTGTCCTGCACTTCGCTCCCAGAGTGAGAAACGATCTTCTAAATCTTCCTTATACGCGCATTGGAGACAAAAGCGCTTCGCACCGCGCTGGGACCTGCTCACAGCGTGGTGCGTTCTGCTAAGGGGACTTTTCTTGAGCGTGGGCCGTCTGTGAACTCGCCTGCCACGGACAGAGCTCTCACACGTGGAAGTGAAGCGGGATTCTGTGAGGCACAATGACAGCTAGTCCGGGGACAGATGCCTTCCCCCAGCGTCCCCGACCCGCCTTACATACAAAGAAAACTTCTCACCGGGTGACACAGCAGAGCAAGTTCATTAAATCAGACGCTAACAGTCTTCCTGCCAGACACCTGGATCTTCTGTGTCACATCGCTGCCCTGCGCTCAATCTCCTCAAAAACAAAAGGCTTTTTTTTTTTTTTTTTTTTACAAATAGTTTATTGTGAAGTTGGTTTCCGTATAACACCCAGTGCTCATCCCCACAAGTGCCCTCCTCCATGCCAATCCCCCCTCTCCCCCACATCCATCAGTCCTCAGTTTTTGTCAGCATTCAAGAGTCTCTCATGGTTTGCCTCTTCCCCTTTCCCCCACTGTTTCCCCCCTTCTTCTCCCCCATGGTCCTCCGTTAAGTTCCTCCTAATCCTCCTATACGTGCAAACATATATTTGTCCTTCTCTGCCTGACTTATTTCACTCAGCATAACACCCTCAAGGTGCATCCACGCTGCTACACAGGCCAGATTTCATTGTTTCTCATTGCCATGTAGTATTCCATGGTATAGATAAACCACATCTTCTTGATCCATTCGTCCGCTGATGGACACTTAAGCTCTTTCCATGTTTTGGCTAGAGGAGAAAGCAGGAAACAATCTCTTTGACCTCCACCGCAGCAACCTCTTACTTGACACATCCCCCAAAGCAAGGGAATCAAGAGCAAAAATAAACAATTGGGACCTCATCAAGATTAAAAGCTTCTGCACAGCAAAGGAAACAACCCACAAAACTAATAGGCAACCAACGGAATGGGAAAAGATAGTTGCAAATGACATATCAGATAAAGGGTTGATATCCAGAATCTACAAGGAACTCACCAAACTCCACGCCCAAAAAACAAACAACCCAGTAAAGAAATGGGCAGAAGATATGAACAGACACTTCTCCAAAGAGGACATCCAGATTGCCAACAAACACATGAAACGATGCTCAGCATTCCTCCTCATCAGGGAAATACAAATCAAAATGACACTGAGATACCACCTCACACCAGTCAGAGTGGCTAAAATCAGCAAATCAGAGAACACGAGATGCTGGCGAGGATGTGGAGAAATGGGCACCCTCCTACACTGTTGGTGGGAATGTAAACGGGTGCAGCCCCTCTAGAAAACAGTGTGGAGCTTCCTCAAAACATTAACAATAGAACTCCCCTATGACCCAGCAATAGCACTGCTAGGAATTTACCCAAGGGATATAGAAATGCTGAGGCACAGGAGCACATGCACCCCAACGTTCATAGCAGCACTCTCCACAATAGCCAAAACATGGAAGGTTTTCTTTTTAGATACAGCTTAACACCTTTTTCTATAGTTGAAATTTCTTCCTAATCATCTACTTCAACATTTGTGCACACATATTATTTATTTTATTTTGCTCCACATCCTTGTAAGAAAATCAACCAGACGGGCACCTGGGTGGCTCAGTTGGTTAAGTGTCTGACTCTCTGATTTCCACTCAGGTCATGACCTCATGGCTCATGTGTTCAAGGCCCACAACGGGATCCTCACTAACAGCACGGAGCCTGTGTGGGACTCTCTGCCTCCTCTCTCTGTGTCCCTCCCCCTGCTCATGCACTCATGCTCTCTCTCTCTCTCAAAATAAATAAATATTTTTTAAAAAGCAAAGAAAATCAACTAGACTCTTCTATTTCCTATGGAAATTCCTTTAGAGTTATATTATGATGAAACATTTCCATCCTAAAGGCTCTGACTTACCTTAACATCCATACTTAGCATTTATTAATCAACTAGTATTTGTCAGGTACTGTCCCCCGTTCTTCAGCATTATTGTTTTCTTTTTCAGCTTTATTGAGAAGTAACTGGTGCACAAAATCTACACGTAATTAATGCATACAATTTAGTGAGCTAAGTCATATGCACACACTCATGCTACTATTGCCACAATGAAGGTTAATAAACATGTCCATCACGCCCAAAAGCATCCTTGTACCCCCTCTTTTTTGTAGGAAAAACAGTTAATGTGAGATCTATCCTCTTAATAAAATGTTAATTGCCCAATACCTTACTGTTAACTCTAGGGATGGTGTTGTACAGCAGGCCGCTGAAACACACACATCTTGCATAGCTGTGATTTTACGCCCACTGAACAAGAACTGTCTGTGTGGTCCTCCCCCGCCCCCAGCCCATGATAATCACCATCCTAATGTCTACTTCTATACCTTTGGTGATATTAGATGCCTCATGAAAGAAGAACCAAACGTTATTCACAGTAGCCAAAATATGGACAGAGGGATGAGTAAAGAAAATGCAATCTATCCACACAATGAAATATGGTTCAGCCTTAAAACAGAAGGAGACCCTGTCATTTGCAAAAACATGGATGGGCCTGGGAGACATATATAAAATACATCAGTCCCTCGAGCTCTTTACCATTTACCCCCGCCCCCCAACTCTGAAGGTAAGAATTCCATTATGAGGTCATTCCACAAATACTTCTGTGCTCTTGCTATTTCCAAGTAAAGCTCCAGGACCGTTCCATGTGAAGGGAACACACATGGCCTCTGCCCATACCTGCCTTCTAGCGCAGTGTCAGAGGCAACACACAAACCATGACTACGTGCATGACCCACGCTGGCAGCGCCAGGGAGAAACAGTAGCTGGGCTCACGGATGTAGAAGAACGGGAGGTGTTTGCGCCCAGGCCAGGCGCACAGAGACCTCCAGCACAGTCCAGTCAGCCTGCACGTATCTGAGAGATCATTTCAGACAGAGAATGCAGAAGCCCTGGAAGACAGCACTCAACACGTTTGAGAAACCACGAGGCTGCGGCTGGGCTGGGGCACTGCAGAGCTGCAGCAGGTGGACGCGGGGCCAAGGAGCAGTGGGGGAGCCTGGGGTGGAGGCTGGGAGGACATCGTCAGGACCCCTGATGTTTTGCTGGGACAGGTGATAGACAACCCACTGGAGAGTTCTGACTGTAAGACTGATACACACCAACTTTGGAAAGACTCAATCCACTTACTGTGTTGAGAACAGACTGAACAAGGGCAAAAGCAGAAGTAAGAGAATCAGTTGGGAGACAGTTGCAAAAATCCAGGTGGACATGGCGGCTGCAGAGCCATCTGAGTGACTAAGAGAAGTGGAGGAAGGTGGGTACTGGCCATGGTGGGTAGAGCAGTGGGGCAGGAGAGATAAAGTAGTGAGAAATCACCATGCAGTTTACTGCTTTTTTAACCTAAGTAACTGAAACAGAGAAATGTCATTTTCCAAGAAGATGGGAGGAACAGGTTTAGGAGAGAAACTCTAGGTCTGTTTTGGACATGCCATGTTTGAAAAGCCTACTGGATGTATAAATGGAGACACTGAGTAGAAATTAGATGCATTCATCTGGGGTTCAGAGGAGGAATCTGCCTAGAGAAGTTTTTGGAAGAAGTAAACCTATAGATTATAGTATTTCAAGCCCTAAGTTAGACTGAATAGCAACAGGAAAAAGATCAGAGCCTGAGATGTCCAACATTCAAGGGGGAGGGACACTGAGTGGCATCAGCAAAGGCACTGAGGAGGCATGTATAGTTCTCATCAGGCTTTGTGTTTTGTTAGCAGCACATGCACTAAAATTGGAACAATAAAGACAAGACTAGCATGACCCCTGAACAAGGAAGACATGCACATTCATGAAATGTCCCGTATTTTCCACACGAACAAAACAAGAAGGTTGGTGAGAAACTAGAAGAAACTAGCAATCATAAAAACAAAGCAAAATGAACACATAAAAACTAAAGTTTAAATGAATAATAATTGAACTAAAGAATTCAATAGTTTCAGAAGCAGACTTCACCAAGTGGAAGAAACTATTGGCAATTTGGAGGATGAGACTTTGGAAATTTCCCAATCAGAGGGAGTAAAAACGGGCACCTGTGTGGCTAAGTCAGTTAAGCATCTGACTCATGATTACAGCTCAGGTCATGATCATGATCTCATAATTTGTGAGTTCTAGCCCTGTGTCAGGCTCTGTGCTGCCTGCTTGGGATTCTCTCTCTCTCTCTCTCTCTCTCTCTCTCTCTCTCTCTCTCTCAAAATAAATCAGTTAACATTAGGAAAAAAAAAAAAAAAGAGGGAACTAAAATGAAAAACAGTGAGGAAAGCCTATGGGAATTAGAGGACCCAGTAAAAAGGAAAAGATATTCACATGGAAATTCTAGTATATTTAAAACAATAATGGCCCAAAGTTTCCTGAACCTGAGGAAACAAATGGACATCCAAATCTATAACCCTCAAAGGCCCCCAAACAGGCTGATCCTGCAGCAGGCTACCCCGAGGCACGCTGTAATTACACTGTCAAAAGTCAGCAAGAGATGGGGCGCCTGGGTGGGTCAGTTGGTTAAGCGTCTGACTTTGGCTCAAGTCATGATCTCACAGTCCACAGGTTCGAGCCCCGCAATGGGTTCTGTGCTGACAGCTAGCTCAGAGCCTGGAGCCTGTTTCAGATTCTGTGTCTCCCTCTCTGACCCTCCCCTGCTCACACTGTCTCTCTCTTTCTCTCAGAAATAAATTAAAAAAAAAACACACATTAAAACATTTAAAAAATCAGCAAGAGAGAGGAGGAGACTTACATATGAGAACAAGCTTTGCCCAAATTAACACAGAGAGATGATAAAGACTAGCACACAAATAAGTGAAATAGGGGACAGGAAAATAAGATAAAAGATTAACCAAACTAAGAATTGGTTGTTTGAAGAGATAAATTAAGTTGACAAACCCTTAGCTCGACCAACCAAGTCAAAAAAGAAGAAAGAACCCAAATGCAGATAGTTATACATGATAGAGGAGAAATTATAGCTGACACTACAATAGATATAAAGGATCATAAGAGCCTACTATGGACACTTACACATTAGCAAACTGGACAACCTAGAAGAAACAGAGAAATTCTTAGAATCCCACAGTTTATAAGACTGAATCAGGAAGAAATCAGAAATCTTAACAGACTGCTACTAGTAAGGAGACTGAGACAGCAAGCCAAAATCTCCCAACAAAGAAAACAGCAGGATCAGATGGCTATTTTACCAAATATCTAAAGAAGAATTAACATTAATCTTTCTTAAACTCTTTGAATAAATAAACAAATAAGAGAAGACTCTTATGCTCATTATTTGAAGCCAGCATCACTGATACCAAAACCTGAAAACCTTATAGAAAAGAAAACTAGAGGTCCTATACCTTTGGATCATTTTGTTTCTTATTTGATAATTTTGTTTTCTGAAGATAATAAAGATAGTCTCAGATTTTAATGGTTTTCCCTTGAATGTGTGACTATAAACTGGCCCCTGGAAAGCTGGAGTTAATGTCCCCCAGTTGTGGCTGGGTCTCGGTACTCTTCCTCACAGGGCTGCGGCACTGGACGGTGGTCACAGAGGCGGACCTCACCTCCTTGTGATCCAGTTTTCTTACCTTTAAGAAATGAACTTGAGGAACAGAGCCTGTGACCTAGAGTAGCTAAGGGTTCAGCAAAATAGTGAATGAAATGTCTTTCTGTCCCTAAAATCTGTTGATTTCTCAAGCAATGTTAGCTAATATCTCCTGGCATTGTTTTTCTGTATTGTAGCATCCCACCCCCCAACCCCCCCGCCCCGCCCCAACTCCCAGCTTTAAGATATCTGGAAATCCCAATGGATGAATACACTTTTTATGCCAAAATACATTTTAAAATTCATGAGCCTGAAAATTCACTGGCTTTAAGCCTTTGGGTCGACACAGTGGGTAAGTGATCTAGGATGCAGTGGATGAAATGAATGTATCTGTATCTTCTGGGGACCCAGGAGAACACACTAGATTTTACTGGATAATACGTGACTTCTGTCACACCCAGGTTTGGCTAACACCCTTTACTTCCCTAGTCATGATTTCTGAATTGGTCAATTTCTTTCCAGGGTGGTTTTAAGAGACAGAGGGAGAGTGCACAAGTGAGAGAGAGAGGCAGGGGGGGGAGAGAGAGAATCTCAAGCCGACTCCACACTCTGTGCAGAGCCCTAGATGGGGCCTGATCCCACAGCCCTGGGATCATGACCTGATCCAAATTCAAGAGTTGGACACTCAACCCGACTTAGCCACCCAGGTGTCCCATCTTTTCAGATTTTTTACATAAAGGCATAAAAATGGGTTTTTTTTTGTTTGTTTTTTTAATAGTGTACTATGCTATTCACAGCTGAGGTTTGATAATCATACTGTGGTTTGTTATTCTGGGTTGTACAGACATGGCTGACAGCAAGAATTATTCACTCACTGTAGTGCATCACACCCCCTCCGCGCCCAAGCCCAGGGCCAACATGGATCTGACGCTCTCTGTGGCATAAGCATCACGTATGTCCACTCTGCCACAGGCACCTCAGGCCATCCCACTTTCCAAACTGCAGACTTGGCTTCAGATACTGGAGAGTGAGGCTGGTCGTGGGACAGCCATTCCCCATCCTGCAGGACTAGACTGGGGAAGATGCTCTAAGACAGAGGCTTGAAGCAAGAAAGAGGATTGTGGACTCACGCTCAGAAGTACCGGACGGAATGCCAAGGCCATTAGAGCAATCGTGCAGAGAGTAGCTTCCCAGGCACAGGGGAACCTTTCCAACCTCTCAGACATAGCAGTGTGGTTCCGTTACAGAGCGCAGGGGTGTCCATGGGGAAGCAGCAGTACAATTTGGAAATAAGGACAGAGAATTACTGGAAACTTAAAAAAATGTCCTGATACGGACCTTGAAACCTGATGCTTCATACCATAGAGGTGGTATAAACGTTCCCCTTGAAAATCAGATCAGGTCAGTGCACAGACTTTTAGGTGTTACATATTTTTAAACATGGGAATCTTACATCTCCATCACATTTTGAAATAAGAGGCTTCAAATCTGACGTGCACTGTGCAGATCTGTTGATGTGGGAGTATCTGCACCGGCATGCGACACTGATGGAGCCCGCGTGTGCCACTGCTATGGGGGCCAGGAGGTCCACGTAAACTGGGCCTTCACTCCAGGTGAATTTAATGTGCATAGACTCCATTTTGCTCATCAATATGGAAGAACAGAACTATTTCCATCAATTTTTAAATGTTAATTTTATTTGAAATGGATACAATTATAGAAAGTTAACTTATTTTAAGTGGAAATGAATGATGCTTATTTCCTGAAATTGAGGAAGGGAGAAGATGTCTTATGTGTTGAAGACAGCCTAGAGGAGGCTTACTATTCTAGAAGTATTTTACCCATATTACAGACTCGCCATTCGCTGTCCATCATGTGAGGAGATTTTAAGGTATGACACTGAAGAGCTAAATGTACTTAAGTAATGGACAGGTAAGACTCCTAAAACCAATCAGCCAGACAACCAATAAATTATGGAAAGGGAAAAAAAAAAACACTACTCTGAATGCCTTTCATCAGGTAATGTAAGGTTGGGCCAAACGCAATAAAATTAATTTATGGATACATGAGAACATACTTACCTAGGATCTGCACTGACCAAACAGTATTTCAGGTTTATGGGAGTGTCATCATCACACACTTGCTAATGTACTAATACACTAGTCACTTTCCTTCAGGGATTAAAAAAAATTAAGGTTTATTTATTTTGAGAGAAAGATAGCATGAGTGGGGGAGGGGCAGAGAGAAAGGGAAAGAGAGAGGCCCAAGAAGGTTTCACGCTATCAGCAGGGAGCCGGATGTGGGGCCCGAATTCAAAAAGTAAGATCAGGATCTGAGCTGAGATCAGATCGTGACCTGAGATCCAGACCTGAGCCCAAGGGTAGGATGCCAAACTGAGCCACCTAGGTGCCCACAGCAATTTGTTAAATGTTTATTTATTTGTTTTTGAGAGAGAGAGGTGGGGGGCTGAGACAGGGAGAGAGAGAGTCCCAAGCAGGCTCCATGCTGTCAGCACAGAGCCTGATGCAGGGCTCGATCTCACAAACCCTGAGTTCATAATCTGAACTGAAGTTGGACACTCAACCGACTGAGCCACCTGGACGCCCCTTTCAGGGATTTTTTATAATAATTCAGGAGGTCATTAATTGCCTTTTCAGATAAACCAGTTTATAAAATACCAAGTATGTGGCCCAGGTAGCTGATTGATAACCTAACCTTCTATCTGCTTAGTGCCTTAGCTTCTTCACTATTATGAGAATTTGTCAGAGACACTAGATGCCACATAACTGAGATACTACAGAGGCAGGGTGCCCATGGCAACCGAGATGAGAAGGAGCTAATGGGGAAGGCAGGGCTGTACGGATTCTGGGTAGTCAACAATTACCACCGGGGCTTTATGGGACCCGTAACAATAATAATCATGACCACTGTAGCACTGCTTATGAGAACAACATTTTGGAAACAACCGAAATACCTATTAACTTGGAATGACTGAACAACTTTTAGGATGCTCATATTTACGGACACTCTGAAGATACTAAAGTGAGTAAGTAGACATAGAAACAAATAGATCTAAAGAGATTTTTGTGTTTTATTAAGGAAAAAATAAGCAAAGAATTGCAAGATATTAATATTTGTATTTATATTATGTGCATATATATTCCATCATATGTACATATATACACACATTAATACTCACATTACAAATACATGAATGTATAAATATCCATATCTATATAGTCACAGAAAAGCAGATTCCTATATAGTGGGCAGACAGTAGAACATA